CATCCAGCGCGGCGCCCGCACCGAGGCAGCTCTGGACTCCCAGGATGGCCCGGGGGCGCCCGCACGGAGGGGATCGCTGCGGGGTTGTCCTCGGCCCCGACAGGATCCGCAGGCCTTCTGGCCTCCACCTTCCGGAGATTTCGGTTTCTCCGACCCTCACAGACCTTCCCTATATGAGGAGGCCCGAATCTCTCCTGGGCATCTGCAGGTCGCGCCGGCTCGTGGTCGGAGTCTTCACGGCGCCGGAGTTGTTGTCGGGAGTGGAGCTGACCAGCAGCGGGGCAGTGGGCAACCAGACGAGCGACCCCGAGTCCACATCCGTCCTCTCCGTGGAGCCCCCGATGCCTTCCGAGGCCTGCGACGGGCTCCGTCGGACCAGCGCGATGGCCGGCCAGGACGAGCGGCCCCCTGCCGATAATCTTGGCGCAGCCGTCACGACGGCGGGCCGTGCCGTCCAGAGCCCCGCCGCCAGGTGCCCCGAACTCGCTGGCCGTGGTCTGCGGGCCCCAGCCAGGCCGGCGGCGAGCCCGGCAGGCCCACGCGCGCCCTTTGGAGAAGCGGCGCCGGCCCCCGTCCCGCCCCCGCCTCGCCGGGAGGGCGCCGTCGGCGAGGGGGGCAGGCGCCCGCGCTCTGCGGGCAGCTAGGGCACAGCTGCGGGAGCAGCGGGGCGGCGGTCGTGAGTCTCGAGCAGAGGAGTCCCCGCTCGGGCCCGAGAGGAGGAGGTCTGGGAGGAGGAGGCTCGGGCCGGACGAAAGGGGGGATTGGGAAAAGGGGGGGGGACGAAATTCTAGACGCTTCGCGTATCCCCACCAGCCCGTCCATAAATGAGTCCCAGGGGAGTGGAGGTTATGAGGGAAGCGGGGGAGCATGCAGAAGAACAAAGGGCGGGGTGAGCCGCCATATACCCCAAGAGGGGGAGGATGTAGGAGGAGCCGTCGTCGTCGGAGTAGGAGGAGGAGCAGGAGGAGGAGCAGGAGGAGGAGCAGGAGGAGGAGGAGGAGGAATAGAAGGAGGAGGAGATGGAGGACTGCGAGGACGAGGAGGACGAGAAGGAGGAGGAGGAGGAGGAGGAGGGGGAGGGGGAGGAGGGAGGAGGAAGAAAAAGAGGAGGAGGAGGAGGAGGAGGAGGAGGAGGACAATTGCGAGCTTGGGGGCCTCTTGGGCCGTCCTTGGGGCCTCTTGGCGGTCCCGGGGGCCTCTTGCGTATCTCGGGGAGCCTCTTGTGGCCTCTTGGGGGTCTCTTGGGGGCCTCTTGGAGGCCTCTTGGGGGCCTCTTGGGGCCTCTTGGGGCCCTCTTGGGGCGCTCTTGGGGCGCTCTTGGGAGCCTTCGAGGCGCTCTTGGGGCCATCTTGGAGGAGATCTATCAAAGAAGGGGGGGTCCCCAATTAGCGCTGCTCCTCTAGAGTGCCTCGAGTCGCCTCTTGGGCCCCCCCAAGAGGCCAAATCCTTCCAAAACCTAGGTAAAATCAATGTTTTTTGTTTTCTCGCCTTTTCGCTCTTGGACCCGTCTTGGGAGCCTCTTGGGCCTCTTGGGGGTCTCTTGGGAGCCTTTTGGAGGCCTCTTGGGCGCCTCTTGGGGCCTCTTGGGGCGCTCTCGGGGCGCTCTTGGGGCGCTCTTGGGAGCCTTCGGGGCGCTCTTGGGGCCATCTTGCAGGAGATCGATCACAGAAGAGGGGGTCCCCAATCGACTTTTGCCCCTCTAGAGTGCCTCGAGTCGCCTCTTGGGCGCCCCAAGAGGCCAAAATCCTTCCAAAACCTAGGTAAAATCAATGTTTGTTGCTTTCTCGCCTTTTCGCTCTTGGAGCCGTCTTGGGTCATCTTGGACTCTCTTGGGGCCTCTTGGGGGTCTCTTGGCAACGTCTTGGAGGCTTCTTGGGGGCCTCTTGGGGTCTCTTGGGGCCCTCTTGAGGCGCTCTTGGGGCGCTCTTGGGAGCCTTCGGGGCGCTCTTTGGGCCATCTTGGAGGAGATCTATCAAAGAAGGGGGGGTTGCTTATTAGCCCCGCCCCTCCAGAGTGCCTCGAGTCGCCTCTTGGGCCCCCCCAAGATGCCAAAATCCTTCCAAAACCTAGGTAAAATCAATGTTTTGTGTTTTCTCGCCTGTTCGCTCTTGGAGCTGTCTTGGGCCATCTTGGACGCTCTGACACCTCGCGACCGGCCCCGTCCAGGTCAGTGGGGAGGGGTAAGGGGAGGGGTAAACCCCTCCCCGAAGGGGAAGAAGGGGGTTGGCAGAGGAAACTCCCTAGACCACCTACGCCCTAAAGGGCTGGTGGGATTCTAGACGCTTCGCGTATCCCCGCCAGCCTATACGGCGGTTAGCTGCACCCCCCACACGTGTATACGCTTTCGGCGTGCAGCTGCCATCCAGTTACGTATCTTTTGCGGTGGTTAGCTGCACCCCCTTTCTCCCCGCCAAGTCGCACTCTGCGGGCTGCAGGAGCCCTGCCGGTCGACACTGTGACTTCGGAAGGACGGCGGTGTCCACCGGGGTGAGGGTGACTGTGACGGGTTGCCTTGCCAGAGTGATGCATCTCTCGCGTTTCTCAGCGCACCTTCCCTTTTTCACCGGTACCGACTCGTCCGTCGGCCGCCGCCAGCCCCAACAGCTCTGAAGTGGCGTCCGTTGGCTGCGCGCTGAGTGGTCCAGCCTTCAGCGCCGACGGCCCGTTTTCCACCACCAGCAGCCGTTTCCCCGGGCTAGTGCCAGTTGTTTGTCTGGGGTGATGCTCGGAGCTTGGCGCCGCAAGGGCGACGTTGCGTAGCACCCGCACCACTGTGCGCTCGCTCTTTTGGACCGGGCGGCGCCTAGGTGCGTCACTGCGAATGTGGAGCATTTTGCTCAGTGCACGTGCACCGCACCTTGTGTGCAATTAGCCTGTTGATCGCCGTCCCGGACACGCTTGCCGCCGCCAGACCGTAGTCGAGCGGCCGCCGAGCAAAACAAATATCCCCGCCAGCTTAGAGCCTCGTTCGTGGCCCGGACGTTGCCTTTGCCGCCTGACCCTTGTCTCGCGGCCGCGACCAACAAAAAAATATTCCCGCCGGCCCATCCAGAACTTATGTCCAGGCGAGTTGAGGTGATCAGGGAAGTGCGGCAGCAAAGAGGAGGACTGCCGAACCGTGCAAAGGAGTGAGGAGGAGAAGGAGGAGGTGGATGGATGGATGGTGGATGGATGGATGGATGAGGGAGTGGGAAGAAGGAGGATGAATAGGATGAGGAGGAGGAGGCGGAAGAGGAGGAGGAGGAGGAGGATGAGGAGGAGGAGGAGGAAGAGAAGGAGTAGGAGCAGGAAGGAGGAACAGGAGGAGGAGGAGGAGGAGGAGGAGGAGGAGGAGGGTAAGCACAAAGGCCAGAGGTCTCTTGGATGCCTTTCGGAGCCTCTTGGGGTATATCTTGGGCGATTCTTGGTGGCCTCTTGGGACGTCTTGGGGGTCTGTTGGCGATCCTGGGGGGCTCTTCGGTGTCTTGAGTGCCTCGGGGGGGGCCTCTTGGGGCCGCTTAGGGTCTTTTTGGGGGCCTCCTGGGGGCCTCTTGGGACCTCTTGGGGCCTCCTGGGCGCTTCTTGGGGCCATCTTGGAGGAGATCGGTCAACAAAGGGGGTTCGTTAATTACGCCCCCCCCAGGAGGCCAAAATGGGGCCCAAACCGTAGTAAGATCAATGATTTTGGTTTCCTCGCCGAGGCCGTTTTGGACGCTCTAACTACCCGCGGCCCCCCCCCCATCCAGGTCCACAGGGAGGGGGTAGGGGGAGGGATAAATCCTTCCCCGGAGGGGGAGAGGGAGGGGTGGAAGAGGAAACGCCCTAAACCACCGACGTCCAGAGGGCTGGTGGGATTTGCTGCATGCAGCTGGTTTCGGCCCCACCGAGGGGCCCATTCCTCGATATGTAGCCGCCTCCGGCGCAGGGAGGCGCCGGGAAAATCAGCTACGCGAGCTGATTCTCACCCCCCCCCCCCCTTTGCTATCCCCCCCTTTCGCCCGACCCGAGAGGCGGTGGAAGAGGATCGGGTATAGTGGAGGGGGTCAGTGTCCACGCGGCCCCTGGCGTTGCGCGCAGGGTCAGCCACGCCCGCATCGTGCCTGGTCCTGCCAGCCTGGCGGTCCTGCAGCGCTACTTCGGCGGCCCGCAGGAGGGGGCCGAGGCAGGGGTGGACGGCTTCAACATGATCGACCCACGAACTCGGAAAGGAATATAGAAATGGAAGGCATGGCAACGTTTCAAAGACACCTGAGTGGGCGACGGGCAAATGCAATGCTAAATGTATCGATCTTGATGTACTGTGCCGGGAGCTGTGCTGTGCTTCGCCGTGCTGAACTGCGATGTGCCATGCCGCGATTGTGCTCTATATTTATACATATATATATATAGATATAAAGCGTTGTGGATCGAGTCCTCGTTGCCACCGAGTCCTGACCGAACTGATCAGGATCTCAAGCTCGAGTTGCCTGAGCAGATGGTGGCTGCCCCAGAGCTAATCGACAGACGTGAAATGCCAGGAGGACGCGCCGCGGAACGTCCCAAGGGACGCGCCAGGCGACGTGCCAGGGGACGTGCCATGGGCAGGCACCGCGGGACGTGCGAAGGGGGCGCGCTACGGAACGTGCCCATGGACGTGCCGCGGAACGTGCCAGGTGACGCGCCGCGCGACGTGCCAGGTGGACTCGCCACGGAACGCGCCACGGAACGTGCGGTCGGCTCTGCAAAACCAGCGTTTTCGCTCGAGACATCCTCAACAAATTCTGAAAACAACGTTTCGCTCGAGACATCCCCAACTCTGCAAAACCAGCGTTTCGCTCGAGACATCCTCAACAAATTCTGAAAAACAAGCGTTTCGCCTGAGACATCCTCAAAAATAATTCCGCCGGCCCTACTCCCGCACGTAATTTATCGCAGAATAATTTCGCCGGCCCTACAGCCGTCGAAACCGGGGGGAACCTACTCAAAAAGAACCCTGGGCTCGAGCCCTTTCCGGCAAAAAGCGAATTGGGGGGGAAGGGTGGGCAAACAGAAACTTCGGAGCTCCGCGCAGATGTTCTACATCTACGCTGAAATCCCTGGCCGCGCGGAGCGCGCCATGGGCGGCGCTGGAAGCGCCGCTGTGTGACGCCCCAGCATGTCTCCAAGACTGCCCAGAGAGCCTCAAGATGGCCCACGAGGACTTCTCCGTAGCTGTTTTGGGTAATTTTGTTGTGTTACTTTTTAAGCTCTGGTAGTTGTTTGGGCGAAGCACCCTGGGCTGCACTATAGAATCCTCACTCGAGGTCCCGCAGTGATGGCGAGCCTCGCGGGCGACAATCTCCCGGCCGTCATCGATTAGCTACCAAGGCCAGCATTAGCGTGGGCGACTGCATGTGACGCCCCAGCATGTCTCCAAGACTGCCCAGAGAGCCTCAAGATGGCCCACGAGGACTTCTCCGTAGCTGTTTTGGGTAATTTTGTTGTGTTACTTTTTAAGCTCTGGTAGTTGTTTGGGCGAAGCACCCTGGGCTGCACTATAGAATCCTCACTCGAGGTCCCGCAGTGATGGCGAGCCTCGCGGGCGACAATCTCCCGGCCGTCATCGATTAGCTACCAAGGCCAGCATTAGCGTGGGCGACTGCATCCAGCGCGGCGCCCACACCGAGGCAGCCCTGGACTCCCAGGATGGCCCGGGGGCGCCCGCACGGAGGGGATCGCTGCGGGGTTGTCCTCGGCCCCGACAGGATCCGCAGGCCTTCTGGCCTCCACCTTCCGGAGATTTCGGTTTCTCCGACCCTCACAGACCTTCCCTATATGAGGAGGCCCGCCGCGCGGAGCGCGCGCGCCATGGGCGGCGCCAGAGGCGCCGCTATAGGGGGCCCCAGCGCCGACCGGTGACTCTGCAGTCCTGGACAACGGAGCTGACACCGAATTCGCGGCGACCTGATGCAGCTGGTTTCAAGTTTCAAGATGCAGTGGGTGACGCCTCCACATGGCGACTCGAAGTGCGCCATGTTTTTCTCAACATTTTTTAATGCCTGCGTGCATGCCCATGCGCTGCCACAGCCTACGGCATGAGCGAGCGAGCGGCAGCCTGATCGCGGAGCAGACTCTTCTGGCTCTTCCCTGCACCTTTCCTGCGCAGGCTTCCCGTTGATGTATAATCGGCGCTGCCATCTCCTCCCACGCGTCTCCTTCCCCCTCCTCCTCCCTCCGCCTCCGCCTCCTCCTCATCCTCCTCCTCCTCCTCCTGCCTGGCACACCCTCTTGCACTCTGCCTGGCCATCTCCCCGTTCTCCCATGCAGGGATGGGTCTCGATGACCCTTCTGCAGTGCCTGCCCGCTCTCTCCAGCGGGACTCGCGCGGGTTGTCGGGAGCGCCTGGTGACCCTTCTGTAGTGGCCGCCCGCTCTCCGTGCGTTGTGCACAGCCCTCTTTTTGCGGCCGGGCTTGCCAGATTGAGAAGACCCCGTCGCTTCAAGGCGCCACAGGTGCACCATCCGTCCATCCATCCATCCATCCATCCATCCATCCATTTGACCCTCAGCGTGCTGCGACCCTCTGCTTCCCGCCGGCAATCGCTCATCACAGCCAAACCTCGGCGACGGACTTGGCGCCTAGAGGACACCATTTGCATGCATGAGCAGTCGCCCCGAAACACTATACTTTGGCCCGACACTGGGCTATGAAACAGATGGCCCAAGATGTTTCCGAGAGGCTCCTCCAAGACGGCTCCAGAAGCCCAAATAGTCCTACTCCCGATGGGACTTTTATATGTTCTGCCTATTCGATTTGTCGGGCTCACGAGAGCCCACAACGGCCTCCGAGATACTGCAGGACAGCCCCAGACACCCCAGAAGTGTTCCACGCCGGTCCCAGAGAGCTCCAAGACAGCCCAGGAGTCGCCCAAGACCGTCCCAGGAAAGCCCGAGATGGCCACAAGAGCCCCTACATGTATGGCATATTCGCTTTTTCAGGCTCGCGAGTTGTCTATCCAGAACGACCCCAGAGGTCCCCGAGATGGCCCCAAGACAGCCCCAGAGACCCCAAAAGCGTTCCACATCGGTCCCAGAGAGCCCCAAGGCAGCCCGAGAAACGGCCCACACCGCCCCAGAGAGGCCCACGAGTGCCACAAGGCCTCCAAGACGATCCAAGAGAGCCGCATGAGCCCTCTGGGACGCCCAAACATGGCCTCACGACGGCCCCACAGACCCCCAAGAATCCCAAAGAGAGCTCCAAGAAGCATCCCCAAGAGAGCACCAGAGGCAAAGGTCGTTCAATCTACATTTGAGCATTTTTCGCGGCCGCGACGGCCCCGGAGGCCCTTGAGATGGCTGCGAGACAACCCCAGAGACCCCAAACGTGTTCCGCAACGGTCACAGCGAGCTACAAGACAACCCAGGAACCGCCAAAGACCGCCTCCGAAAGACCCACGAGAGCCACAGGGCAGCCCCCAAACGGCCTCGGGTGCCCCAGGAGAGCTCCAAGAGGCACCCCCCAGTGGGCCCCCAGAAGCCACGATCGCCCCCTTCCCGTGAGGTAAGCTGTGTATGTTTGGCGCATTCGCCCTTTTACTTGGCATCGCTCGGACGTGTGCATTTTTTCTCGGCGAGGACCATCGAGAACCATCCTGGACCATCGAGCAAACAAAAACACGCACGAAACCGAAAAATGCACGGGAAATGGACGTCCGAGCGACGGCAAGTTTAGGGCTCAAGAGTGCCCACGGCGGTTCCAGAGAACCTCGAGATGGCCCTGAGACAGCCCCAGAGACCCCAAAAGCGCTCCACGACGGTCCGAGAGAGCCCCAGGATAGCCCAGGAAGCTCCAGAAGAGCCACCGAAGGGCCCCAAGAGAGCCCCAAGAGAGCTCCAGGAGCGGCTGCCCGGCGCTCTCTTCGGGAGGGAGGCTCCCGCCATGCCCTCAATACCCTGCCGTAAGCCTCCCAGACGCTCCCAAGAAGCCTCCAGACGCCCCCGAGATGCCCTCCGGAGGGCAAAGCCATCCCAAAATGGCCCCGCCTTCCGCGAAGACGCCAGAGTCCGCAAGAGGCCCAGCTCGATCCAGCTCGAGGGAGGATTTCGCGGAAAGGCAGGGGCCAGGAATGTTGGTCGTGGTCTCTGAAATACCTTACAAGGCCGCTGAATGTGAGAGGGTGGATGAGGTGGAGGAGGATGAGAAATGAACCAAGAGGAGGGGGAGGAGAACTATACAAGGTCGAGTGAGGCGGGAATAGCGACGGGATGGGAATGGAGGTAAGGATGAGGAGGAGGAGGACCAGTGTAAACCCAAGGGCCATCAACGATGTTGAAATGCACGCTCCCTCCAAGCTCTCTCTTTACAGGCCCCTACAACGGTTCATTTCCATTGAGGGAACTGTTTCGTTGGAAGACAACCGTGTGAAGGCCCTGAAGCATGCCTGAAGACCCTGAAGGATTCCATTCACTGGAGAAGACCTTGCCGCTATGTCATCCACGGGGAAACCTGTGACGGATTTCTTCCGACCACTGACCCAGATGAAGAATGGGTCACATCGTAGTTGGTCGCGTTCTGTTCATATCATTTCTGCAAGGACGCATCAGGGGCGGCTAAGCCGAGCCTTATGCCTGAGTTCAACCTGCGAAACTCAGTATTCGGAAGCGCACAGTAGGCTAAGAGCGGAGCGCTACTCAACGGTATTGCCGCCGCCTCTGCGAGCTTTTGGCGGGATGATCAGTGGTCTTATAAGGAAGGGACGCACGCTCCAATTTGTTTCACTTTCTGGAATTTGAACGACATAGTTGGTAATTCTGGCAAATTAACCGGAGTCGGCAGTGGACGCAACAGGACTGAGAACCCGTTTGCTTTCGCAGGGAACCTCAGACAGATGATGGAGGGCGCCGTGGATTTGATCGATGAAATAATGAAGCGGTCCCAAACAGGGGACTATAGACATAATGTATATCGGCGGGGACTCGAAGTTTTGGCAAGTAGGTGATTACGGCGTCGGCCCTATGTGGGACGACGTTGCTACTATGGTCCGAGCCAGAATGAACCGTCGGATTGAACACTTTAAAACGATAGGACTGTTCCCCAGAATAAGAATCTTCGACGGCGTCAGCCTCTACCGCCAGCTTAGGCACCGCCATGGGGACATTTCCAATTTCAGTGCTACCCATGACGACTATCAAGTGTTTGATGGGGGAAAATCCCGAAAGGTCATTGCCGCTGAATTATGTCCCGATTACATGATTAAAACAGCCCAACTGGCTGTGTTATTTTTCTGTCAGCCTGCCGGCGGCTCAGCCGTCGGGGAAGGCCACATAAATTGCCCCGTGAGGGAGGACAAGTACGCCAAACAGGAGGCGAAAGTCCGAGACTTTGTCATGTATTGGCAGGACTGGTCCCCCACAGAAGGTAACATTCCCAGGTCGATACTTGGCGCGCTTCCTTTTAAGGAACCACTGACCGATGAGCAGTTCCCAGCCGCTTCAAACGGAACTGGAGGCGGTGCTATACACTCGTTCTATTCAGATGAATTTAATGATTTCCTTGAAAAGGGGGCTGTTTATGGTGATTTCTTCCCATGGAAGGATGATGTTTACTTTTTCCCGGCGGAGAAACCTTCTGCCCTGGAATGCCACCAAGGGGAAAGACCCAGAGACCAGCGACCGAGGGAGTGCAAAATGATGAGCCAATGCGTGCCGTGCTCAAGGAATTTAACAAAGCAGCACCAACGGCGATACCGAGCGGCTTAGCCGTTGCGGCGAGTAGTGCAACGCCATGTGGCATAGCGGTCCCTGTATTTACTGAAGTTTTGACCGGCCAACCCGGTGTTGTTGCTGCAACCGACAAGGCCAAACCCGTCGGCTCAGCCAGAACGGGCTCTGGTTCTAGCGCGATGACGGCTCAATCACCACGCGCCTCTCCGTTGGCTCCTCCAACCAATACCAAGGAAATCGAAACCCCTGGGGAAACAGCTGAAATAACCATCCGTGCGAAATGTCCTGAGGGTGAGTTGACTATGATCAGTTAGAAGCAAAAGCACAAGTTTCCGAGGAGGCCGAAAGATGGATACCCTGGAGAGGAAGAATATCTGTGAACGATCCATAAGGAATATCAGCAGATAAAGAATCTGCTAGTGAAAGATGCAAGACAGGAGAGATTACTCGTCATAATTTCCTTTGCCCGTTCGCAGCTGCCAGCGGCGAGCTTCACCGGGATATGATGCCATTTAACGCATGCCCAGGCGAAGAGGGGCGAGCTGCTGAGGTCGCTGAGGGAAAAGATCCCCGTCATAGCTGGGAACGGAAAGCGATCCTAACAGATGGTAATAGCCAAGCGTGGCTTGCCCACCAGGTGCTTCAGGAAACGGCGAGAGTTCCACGGATGACACGGAACTATCTAGTGCCGAAAGGGGCTCGTTTCTTCAGGATCGAAGCAGACAGGTCGATACGGAAGTTGAATGCCACCGTGGCCGATCGCTTGAATTGGGCAGACTTGAGGTTGACATCCCACAAAGTTGGCAAAGCCCACTGCGTCGAATTCGCGTTGCCTTTCTTTCTGTCCAAAGAGAAGTTTGCGGAAGTCTCAGACTCATCCACCAGCTGGACAAAGCAATCACATGGTACGTCAGTGACCACCCTGCATGCTATTTTG